TGCCCAAACGTTTACAAATACAAGGACTTAGGATCATAAACTTTATAAATATACATGGTTAGTGTGGATACACAAACTTTATTTTTTCATTTTGCAGGGCCTGTTGACATTAGCTAACGTACCTAGCTCTTTGACGTCACCACAGGCACTTGGGGTATGGAACCCCCCCCCCCTTTCCATTTTTTTTCTTTTTAAATCTGGGGTCGAGTCACCTTTTTCCTATTTTTGTATTCTAATATGCACTGTATGTTATCAATAATGTAACTCTTTTGTCTCTATAAGCTGTTTTTAAATATATCGTTTTCGACTGATACATAAAAAGAGAGAAGGCTTGCAACTCTTTTCTCATCGTCTGCCTCACCTCGCTTAAACTTCGCCTGATTATTTATCGAAAGCATAAGAAAACATGGAATATGCATACATCAATAAATTCGTTATACATTCTTCTTCCTTTTCATATTTCCATTTAATTTTTATGTGTCCCCGATTTGTAAATATTTCGATTAAATCACCCGCATCTAGGGTAAATTTTGTTGATGTGCACCAGCTGGGACGGAAGTGCCCGGTATTTTCGGGTATCATCATTACGTGTAATGTCATTCGGAACATTAAATGCGAGAACGAATAAATCCCGAATTTTCTTTTCATATAACATGTAACGGTAAGTTCTGTGAATAACAAGATAACTGTAACTAGCAAATTTTAATGGATGAAGAATAACTTTTTACAGACGACCTAGACAGCCAAATTTCACAATATTGTTATTGCAAAGCTTGGAATTTTTTTTAAATGCAGAACATTTATAAAGTTAGAGTTACCGTTATTGCACTTCCGTCCCAGCTGGTGCACATCAACAAAATTTACCCTAGATGCGGGTGATTTAATCGAAATATTTACAAATCGGGGACACATAAAAATTAAATGGAAATATGAAAAGGAAGAAGAATGTATAACGAATTTATTGATGTATGCATATTCCATGTTTTCTTATGCTTTCGATAAATAATCAGGCGAAGTTTAAGCGAGGTGAGGCAGACGATGAGAAAAGAGTTGCAAGCCTTCTCTCTTTTTATGTATCAGTCGAAAACGATATATTTAAAAACAGCTTATAGAGACAAAAGAGTTACATTATTGATAACATACAGTGCATATTAGAATACAAAAATAGGAAAAAGGTGACTCGACCCCAGATTTAAAAAGAAAAAAAAATGGAAAGGGGGGGGGGGGGGGTCCATACCCCAAGTGCCTGTGGACGTCACGTTAAACGTTTAATTAAAATCGCAAGAGTCATCTTCCCCACTGTGTTATACGCCTTTAGGACATTCATGATATTTATTATTATTATTTTTTTTATCAAAATTTTCGATTTTATTATGCGTGAACAGTACTTCGCTTACTTTTTGCATGAACACGTTTTGGGGTAATTAAGGATAGTGTATTATGAAATATCAAGTTTTCTATACTAATGCCTCTTCTCCTTATAAAATAAGGAATATATATAGTCTGATGACGGATACTAGTAAATAATCAAGTATGTTTAAAAATGTAAAATTAAGAAAATGGAATTAAAGGGTTTTTTAAATCATCTTGCTTGGGAACTTTGGTACGTCTGCCTTGTGAGGATCAGATAAATATAAAACATTTCATTAGATTGAAAAGTCACACATTGGTTAAACTGTTAATCCGAGGAAGTGTTGAAATTCCCTTCTTGACAAATGAAATAATTTTTTTATGACCTTCAATTAAGAATTTGTCATTTTTTCTACAATTTTGGTATACTGTACATGTACATGCACATTAAATTGAGGTTGATTTCAACTGTACAAAATTAGTCTCAGGTTTATTGATTAAGTCGAAAATTTAAATTACCTGATAGGCATTCGAACAAGCGTTTACTCGTAAATTCTACATGATACATACTCAGCTGTGAGTATTTGGGCGGTTAGAAATACATGCATTTCGATCCAGTATTGGTGATTAAGTTGCAATTCTATGAAAATGGTAAAGAGAACACTGTTTAGTATAGGTTACAGATAGAAAGTATTTACTATATATAGATGTAATTTTTCTACTTTTGTCTATATTCTCAATTGTCTTAACTTTACAAGATATGTTATATTGGACAAGCAGCGTAGGAACTTTGCTATATTGCTTGCATTTTTGAAAGCTGATCTGTGAAGATTCGTTGGAAGGGAATATATCGTTAAACAGTGCAAAATATTTACACGTCGCAAAATTCACTTCGAATGACCTACATTTATTATGTAGCCTTATTATCCATACCTCATTTTCTACTTTAAAAAAATGTCCAAGCGTTGAACCCATGCACATTCATGTAATAAACACGACCTTATGGAATGGTTAACAAATATATTTCAACTATTTGTTTTAGTTTAGAAAATGAAAAAAAAATTACACGCGTGGTTCCGTCCAAAAAATCGAAAGACGATCTTAGTAAGTTGATAAATATAATAAATTAAGAACATTTATCTCACGCAGTTTTTAGCAATTAAGTAGCATTAATTAACATAGCGAGAATTAATCCGAACACGAACAGATTAAGGAAGATTTGATGCAATTGAATTGAAATCAGAAAAAAAAATGAGCACTTGAAAGAAAAACAAAATACAACTAACCTGACTTTATATAAGGAGGAGGAAGTTGAATTGTATGCAACAATCATACAGATACATGTCATATTAGTTTGAATTGCGCCTGAAAAAAATATTACGTAATTACATGTACGATATGCATACACTTTAATTTTCATTTACTATTCATGCAGATAGTTTTGAGTTTCAAAAACAATAATCATGTGTAGTTACTATCATTATCCATGCGATCCAAACAAATCAGATTTGTTTTTTTTTTTAGAGTACTTAGAGAGATTGAATGTTTAGTTAAATTTTCAAAAAAAATGAAAAGTAGTAAAATATCGAAACTGTGAACAGATAAAGGATAAAAATGAACCTTCTCAAAATTTCTTTGAAGAGTTTTTGCTTCCAAAAGGTTTTCAGCCCATTATCACCCCCTTACAGGAACAAATCCCTTTTCAAAAGGGATTGTCAATTAGAAGAGGATCCCTACCCCCCTGTGAAGAAATACGGTAAGGTTTGCTTTATTTTTCGCCCAGAATACTTCTGAATCGGAATTTTTGAGTGGGTAATAGCTCCCTCCCAAGGAGAAAAAGAACGAATTCTGAACCCCCCTGAGTTTTTATTTGCATCTCTCTGAGTACATGCATGCATGTGTTATTTATTGAGCCAATGTAGCTATTTTACTGAATTAAATGTAAAGACGTCAGCATTCTCAAATGTCTTGTTGCTATAAAAAAGATGGGTACCCAAATATATGTTACGTAAAGAATCTCAAAGTCTGTGTTTTGCTATGAATGAGTGCTTTCTTTAGAATTTTGTCGTTTTAAAACTTTTATTTATTAATAAATACAATAGACGATTTTAGCCTTCTTCAAAATGTATGAAGAGTAGAAGAAACTTGAATATGTTCAATAATGATATTTTGGTAGGTAATCAATCGATGGGGACACTATCACATGCATTGCTGTATATATATTTACCGATTACAGAAACCAAGAACAATTTCAGATCAAGAAGTGTATAAGTCAGAGTGTGAACATATCTTGATAAATTATGTTTTATTAAAAAAAAAAAAAAACACTGTTGGCATAATTATCGTCCTTAATTGTAAGTGCATATTTGTATTGCATGAAGCAAATGTGTTTAATATATTTTGTTGAAACTAACGTTTTCTAAAAAGAAAAAAAAAAACAGCATGATATGTAATATGGAAATGTAAATTTAGAGAGCTATAACCATCCTATCACGTTCAAAGAGTTACTTCAAAGAGTCAATAACATTGACAAGCAAATAATATACTTCACCCCACCCTTTTCACTTTCATTGCAATTTTTTTGGAAAAAAAAAAACGTAAAAGTCCACAAACAGGCGAAAATGCACGAAAAGGGGTGTCTCTTTGATAGATTATAACTTTTAATCGTAGCGTATGTCGATCTATTAAACTTGGGAAATGAAGTCTGTCAGTGAACTTATAAGTCCAAACGCCCTTTAGAAGAATTGAAGTCGAAACATGAAATAAGATATATATATATATGTATATGTATATGTATATATATATATATATATATATATATATACTAAATTCCTATTTGTATTGTTTGAACACATCAAAAAACCATTCATTAGAATAATAACATTTTGAATGAATTTTGACGTGTGTTTGAGGAAGGAACTTGCAGTACTTAAAAAAGATTTTAAACAAAGTTATTAATAACACTAAAAAATAATTAAGTGCAAAATATTTTCAGATTTGTTTGATTGTTATGCATTGATAACTTCCTCATGCAGTTTAAACCATGGACGTCTTTAGTTCCCTCGTGTTTTAACTTCATGTTTTAAAGGAATGTAATGTATATGTGCTATTTAAATTTACATGTCTACCATTTCTCAGTGGGTCAACAAATATTCGTTAATTTAAATACCCCGACATTCTGGTTTTCTAAAGCTGAATATTTCCCCAGGGATTTTTATTTCTACTTCCTCCTTCGGAATGGCGCTACTTGGCTGGATATGTTGGATTTTTATATTCAGATTTATTTTGAGCTATGGTATGTTATGCTTTATTTTCTTATTTCTTTTTAAATTAGTGAAAAATGAAATTAAAAAAAAGATAAATGTACGTACCGTCTTTTTGTGCACAAGTTCTATTGTCAATGTATTATGATTTATACCGTTGTGTGATGATTAGCTGTGATTGAGAATTTGTACGAGTCATATAGATTTTTCTTAACTTTCTCAGACTTAACACAAGGAAAACAGTTTGAAATTAAAATACTTTACTATAAAGCAGCACACTTCGTTGTAGTTTAATTTAAGTTCGGAATGCTTATTTGTTGTATAGATTGATATTTATGGAAATTACTTAGAAATGTATTCATCTTTCTCTGACTAATAGTTCAGGCAATGATATATGCCACATTTATTACAGAGAACTTGAGTATAAAAAATACTACAAATGTCTCACAAAGCTCTACATACAATTACACAAAAGGAAACAAGCATATATATCGAAATGCAACAAATGCAAATGACGGGGAATTTGGGACGAGGGAGGCAGACTGCGCTCATACTGCTCCTGGGCACGATAAAGCGTGGTTTCAAGTTGACCTTGGTTCAACCTATAGCCTAAAATCTATAATAATTACATACAGAGATGAAGGTAAGAAATGATTAGATCAATTGTAATCACAATCTGAATGTTAATATAGCAGATTAATTATTCCACTATTCTGACACCTTTTTAAATTATATAACCACTAATTTTTTTTTTTAAATGTCACACTCATTAAAATATTATATATTTCCAAACAGTTTTGCTTTTAAATTATCTATATCTTTTTATTTAAAAAAAAAGTGATTACCGGTAAATGCTTTAAAATGAACAAAAAAAAAAAATAGCAATTATGTGATGACTAACAGTAATGTAAAACAAACTGGATTTTTTTTCAAGGGGAAACTTGGAAACCGTATAGATTCCGGCAGTTTTACCTAGATGTAGCTAACGTATCAGAATCAAATTCATTGAAAACAGGGAGGTTTCGGTGTTACACGGACAACACAACTAACAGTAGCGTACCTCCAAATGTCATTCACATTCCTTGTAAACAAGCAGCAAGATACGTAATTGTAGAAACCATTTACGATGCACCTGAAGATGAGATCACAGGAGCTATTCTAGAATTATGTGAAATAGAAATTTATGGTAGGACGCTTTGTGATACTTTTGTTGTAAAATAGGTCAATTTATACTCAAAGCAAAAATCTTCATACAAGGTAGATTAACATAATCCCTGAAATGAGAATGGAACTTTGTACGTATTAAAATAATAGGAAGGTGGAAGGTAATTCGTTTTAAGATTATTTCTGATAAATAACATACGTTTCTTAAAGACTCCAAATTTTACTGTTATTGCATTTCTGTGTCCTAGGGTGTCTGCTTCATACGTACGGTGAAGATTGTTTATCATGTGGTGGCTGCAGATTCTGCGATATTGACCTTGGATGTTGTAAGGTTTTTCTGTCTGATTCACAAGAAATAACTATTTTTTTATTGAATAAAATCAGTCCGTTAAATCTGACGCTTTTGGGCTTAGTGAAAATAATATTATATTAAATAGAATTCCTTCTGTAAATAAATCTTAATTTAATCTGTGAAACAAAGAGAATGAAATTTATATTTATCCACTTTCATATGACTCAAATGATAAATATCTACAATAGAAGTTTAATATGATATCAATTTGAAAGGACATAAAACTGAATTAGGATTTGTCTGTACAACTTTCCTAGAAATAACACTCGCTTTGAATCCATTTATGCATTTTTTTAATTTCCGTTTACCGGTACTAAACATTCTTTTAGTCCTTTTGCAAACAGAAATGCACTTTAACGTATAAGCCAATAAAGCTTGTTTTTTTTTTTTCGCAGTGAATTAACATATACGTCGATGATAAGAAATCTTGATTACGCTTTCGTTCGTATTCAAGGTTCCGCGCATAATGTCTTTTTGGACTTTTTTTCCCTCTAAAGAAAAAAAAAAACAGATGTGTTTGTTGTATTCCTGGAGGATAATTATTCATTAAAGCAACAACTTTATCGCAAAAAGTTTTTTTTTTTCCCGGAATGTTTTTGGAGACCACAACGCTCACCTGAGTCTGGCTCTCCTGTTCTTTAGCAGTCTTATGTAAGATTTTGATCACCCTATAAACTGGCCGGGACCATGTTTTAAACTAAAATAAATCTATGAGAGGAAGCTTTCATATAAATATGACTTATCATGGCTTTGCTATTCTTGAAAAGAAGGTTTTGAAACATTTTTTCTCATTAATTTTTTCTATGTAAAATTATGATTATTGTGTCCAAACCTACCTCTGGGGTTCAATATTTCAACGAACTTGAATCTACATCACCTGAGTATCCTTCCCTTTCAATATAATTTATCATGGCTTTCGTGTTCTTGAGAAAGAGATTTAAAAAATTCCTGTATAATCTTATGTAAAAAATTAACTTTTTTTGCCAAACTTTACTCCTAGGGACCTTGATTTGAAAGAAAAATTGAACAAACACTTATTTGCTGATATGCATCAATGTTAAAATGACCAATGATAACTTTGCTGTTTCTGTTTTCGAGAAGATTTATTAATCCCTTTTCTGTATGCTCTTTTTTTCCTGATTATGAAATGCCTCACCTAATTTTGGACTTTTCTGCCTTTTCTCTATTCATATACTTTTGGAAGGGGCTTGGTCCTCCATTTTAACAATTTAAAATTCCCTGAACGCCAGGATGCTTTGTACCACCTTTGATTAAAATTAAACCAGTGGTTCTTGAGAAGACGTTGAAAATGTTTAAAGTGTATATACAGACGGATGGACAGGAAGAGAGCAAACGCCGGTCAATGGGTGGTCAGAAAGCTCACTCGGGTTTTCAGCTCATGTGAGCATAAAAAATATATGACTGTACTTCATTCGAACAAAATGATTCTTTAAAATTATATTAATTTGAAGGAAAAAGGATTTCTTTAATTTATGCATGTCATTTTTTTTTCTCTCTGATTGTTTACAATATAGATTGTCCAACCGGGTATTATGGTTCCGCTTGTATTGAATGCGGCAAAAATTGCCGCGGCGACTCCTGTAATAGTGACGATGGTACATGTGACAAGGGATGTATTAATGGATATTACGGGAACATGTGTAATGTTGAATGCAGTGCAAACTGTCATGATGGCGCGTGCAGTCAAAATGGTAACTGCATGTATGGGTGCAAAAATGGATTTTATGGATCCTTTTGTAATTTGTCCTGCAGTCCTCAGTGCCTCAATAAACAGTGTGTTAAAAGTAATGGTGATTGTGATTATCGAGGGTGTGAAGCAGGCTATTACGGAAACAAATGTAATAGGACTTGTTTTAACTGTGTTGGAAAGAACTGTTCTCGTGAAGGAGGAATCTGCACCGAGGGCTGCATAGTTGGGTCCTATGGCAGTGACTGTACCCAACCTTGTCCTTCCAATTGTAAAAATGACATTTGTAATAGAGACAACGGGATCTGCACAGAAGGGTGTCAAAGCGGTTATTTTGGAAATAAATGCACAATGCCTTGCTTGATAACAGCTTACTGTTTGCATAACACTTGTCACCGACTGAATGGGACGTGTAATAAGGGATGTGTTGCTGGGTGGAAAGGGCCCCACTGTAATGGTAAAGTATTGGACTATTTTTATCTTCGAAAGCTAATATGAAATATTTGTGATGAAGAAAAATTTAGGTTGGTCACTTTATTTGATAGTCACGTGCAAAAGGCATCTAATGTGTACTGCATGGAGGTCATAAACACATTTTAATATCTTAAGGGCATACTTTAGTTAGAATTGAAAAAAATGAGTGATAAATTGTTTCTACACATCTTGTAATTTCTGGAAGGTGCTGCTGCTTTAAATAGAATTCGCATTTTATTAGTTTAAATTTCAAATAATTGAGATCAGGTTGAAATATGTGTGACCTTTACTAAGTATTTTATGTATTTATTAGTTATTGCTCTCGATTTCAGGAAAGCAGCAACATTTTTCGAGTTTAGGTATATTTCCTATTAGTGTATTCAAAAAATGGTCAAGATCTATTAAGTGTACGCCCTTGCAAAAAGGCGATTTAATGAGTCACCCCGATGTTAAATATGCCAACCTTGTACACAAAACACGATATAATAAATTCGATACATTCTATAGATAATGATTGAATAATGCCTCTAAACAACGGTTTCACATTGGTATAAATTAATAGTCTATCTAACATCTGTAAATAATATACTGTTTAAGAATAAAATGCACTTTTCACTGTGAAAATATGACTTGATCCGCCTCTCACTGCACATAAAATGCGTCACATTTTACCATGATGACGTCATGTCGACAAGTGCATAGCGATCAATGACTTGTTTATACCTTGCTGAATGGGATTTAACTAGCGACAAAAATGAACGCAGTGGTAAGTTGAAATGTTGTTCATGATTTAATATAATTATTTTATACAGTTTAAAACCTCAAATTATTTCAATATTTGGTTTTGTGAGGAATTGATATTTTTATGTGATGTCACAATAAACATTTCCCATATAAATTAAGCCCCGCCCCCTCCATGCAGCCTTAACACTGCTGCGAAACTAAAACATCAGTATCAATCCTACAGTTATCTTTTAACAGAATGCCTATTTAAAAAATCATTTCAAATTCCATTAAAGTAAACTATGTTTAATTATGAAACATTTCTTTTCGGTAAGTATTTAGATAATATAAGAGGACTTAGAACTAAAAGTGGCTAAGTCTCTTTTTCATAAAATATACTTCTTACATATGGATGTCAGTTTATAAACAAAACACATGTTAATTGTAAATTCTATTCATATGTTGATTTGAACTTGAAATAAAAGAAACTACAGAGACTGAAACATTTGTTTCATATTTGGACATTTTACTTGTACAAAGTTGTTCTAAACCTTGTAATCTAACAACAAAACTTTATGATAAACGTAATGACTTCAACTTTTCTATCGTTATCTTCCCTTACGTTTGTAACAATATATCCTTATCACAAATATGGGGTTTATATCTCCCAGTTGATTTGATACGCAAAAGAATGTTCTATGTACGGCCAATTTCTAAAACGAGTTCTAAAACAAACTATTGACAAAAAGTTGACGAAACAAGTATATCAACAGTCTCGTTTAAAGTCATCATTTCACAAGTTCTATGGTCGATACAATGGCTTTGTCATGGCACTTGATCCCATTTCTGATGTTTAGTGAGGTCCGTGTTTGCTCTACCCCCGATTTGTTTTGTTTTGATGGACGTTTGATCTTAATTACTTTTCCTTATCTCCGTAGTTCATGCATACTCTTATTTTTTGAAAGTCTCTGTGGAGTATGATGTTGACATGTTAAACAAAGATTATTCTACTACTACTTTGATTGGCGCTGCTGTTGGTAGTGTTGTGGTCATTGCTATTATTGTCATCATCGTCGTAGTACTGCTAAGGTATTTAGTAAATGAGATTGCTGACAATTATATAATATATAACTTTTAAAGTTCATATGGCTATCTGAAGTTTTCTATTGTTATAAGGGTGCGACGAACTAAAGAAGAAAATCAACATCAAAACGTTACATATATGGAAAACTATAATGGTATGAATGGGAATTTTACTATAGGTTTTTAAAAATAAAATTTGACTGGAAATGTATTTTATAACAAAGAAACATAAGGAAAACTATAATGGTATGAATGGGAATTTTACTATAGGTTTTTAAAAATAAAATTTGACTGGAAATGTATTTTATAACAAAGAAACATAAGAATTTCTAAACTGAATTGAAATAAAATTTAAACGTTGTATAAGAGTATTGGAAAACAGATATAATATACTGTAACAATCAGAACAAAACGAATTTCTGTGTGAAATCGATGTTGTATACCTTGTCGTAATTCTGTTCCGAGTGAATGAAACAAGCTACAATGTATCTTTGATGCTTATCTTTTCCAGAAAACATTCAATTTGGTAACAGTAATTTCCAACCAGTTTCAGTTGAAAGAGAAGACGAAACTGAGGAACCATACGAAGAGAAGCCTGAAGAAGCTGTGTATTATAACAATCTTTCCTCTGCTCGAGACATATTAGTATCAGACCTACACAGCATCATAAAACACAAAGAAGCCAATGAAAACGAAGGATTTATCAAAGAATTCAAGGTTCATCTTTTTTGCATACATACATACATGTACATAAGGTTGAATTGCATTATGTCTTCAACATATATCAATGCTATTTGTGTACAGATGCTTAAGCGATGTTTTCCTCGAGGTTTTATATTGATATTTTTGTACATTTGTTGTATATGGAGTAATTATTAACAAAACATCTTTATTACAGACTCTTCCTTACGGAGAAAGGTTCGATTGCCACACGGCCAAACTGGAGGAAAATATGCCAAGGAACAGATTTAAAACAACTTTTCCATGTGAGTTGTTTAATATATAGAGGATATTCAATGTTTTGTAGATGAATATGGAATTTATTTCACTAGTGGGACAGGATTTTTTTTATATTTTCACGAGTGCGAAGCACGAGTGAAAATATCAAAAAATCCTGTCTCACGAGTGAAATAAATTCCATATTCATCTAGAAAACATTGAATTTTCTGTTTATTACATTTTTTTTTTTTTGATTTTCCCTTTGTCTCTGCCTTTTCTTAACACAGTGTCATAGGCTTGACGTCATAGTTGAGCGGTTGAGACGTCATAGCTTACCAGTTGTGAGATTGAAAACATAACATAGCATAGATTTTAGCAACATTTGCATTTTTAGCTCTATCAAGATGATTAGTTACTATCTCTGTCTTAAGCTTATGACAGGCCAGAATTTTTTTTTTTTGCTTACTTTGATATCCTTTCACACTATGAGAGAATATCATTTTGGTATCCTTTCACACTATGAGAGAATATCACTTTTATTCAATAAATAAATCACAGTATTTCACTGTTGAAAATGTAATAAAGAGTTATATTTTAAATTTCTCAGTGGGTATTTTCCATTTAAATTGAGCACATGTTATCAAAACAAAAAAGCCATAAGGATTAGACACAGGTTCAAAAAATCTCCGAATACATCAATTAAAAAAAGCCATAAGTTAATCTAAGCATATATGGAATAAAAAGGAGATTGCTCATAATATTCAAATTTAATGTGGTCACTCTTCTTAAGATATCCTAGTTCTCTATGATAACTAATGTATTTTTAAGAAGAGAGATCACATTTAATTTGAATACAATGAGTAATTCTTTTCTACAAAACTTACAAAAAACATGAATGCTCAGAAAAATTAGCATTTTGTAAAGTTTTTTAACTGCGTTGCAAAGGGGTAAGGGCGTTTGCTCCAGAGTCGCGGAGTAAGACGTTAATCCTTACGATCCTTAATTATGTCGCTGATTCGAATCCACTGTGTGACACAAAACCGGGTCTTGGGATTAGATCGTATAAATCAAGGTCCCGTGTCGCATTATGTGGTGAAACGAAAAAGATCCCCCACTGCTCCAAGACCGTTAGTGCCGAGTACAAGTGAAAAATTGCAGTCCTTCACCGGCTGGAAGTGACGTCTCAATATGAGTGAAAAAAATTCAGAAGGACGTTAAACAAACGAACAAAAGCATTTTTAACATCAGAGAAGGAAAAAATACGTTTACCTATTCTACTTAAAAACAATTCAAGAAATTGATTATTGTCTTTTTCCTCTTCAGATGACCACTCAAGGGTTATTTTGGAAACAAGTGACGACTTTGCATCAGATTACATCAATGCGAACTATATTGGAGTATGATGCTAATGGATTAAGTTTGTAGTATTGTAATCGTTTATTACTGGGGAAATAAGATATAATTTCTAAATTCCTTTAAATTGTTTCCTTGTAGAATTCTGAAGGACACCGAGAATATATCGCATGTCAAGGTAAAAGGATTTTTTACGATGAGAATTGTAAAATTACGTTTCAAACAAACAATATTTTGTTCGCTTGTTTAAAAAAAAATCACAAAGATTTATCTTTTCATTTTGTATATTTGATAATCTTCGCTAGCCAAGGGTTTCTGATACGCTACTCTCCTCATAAACCCTTGGCATACGGTGCTGACAAAAGACGGGATTGTGGTAAGAATCAAGATCTCGTGACAAAAAGGTACGCACAGATTGCGTCATCGACAGAAATAAAAAGCGTATTTAAAAAAAAAAATGTTTTTAAAGAATAATTAACAAGAAGGTATCGAGTTATGTTAATTTGTTATTTAAACATGTAAAAATGCAAATCTACATCTTCAGTATAGATTCTTAATCACATATTTTGCACGTAGCTTTAGATATTGGATGACACCATATAGCTATTCATAGAATGGCATGTTATCTTGTTTACTTGCGTTTTACATTACCGATATTAAAGAGTCAAGATATATCCCGAACGCAAAAATCGTCATTTACAAAAAACAATTGCTGATTGGTCGAACGATGTCGATCAACTCCAATCACAACTTGAGAAAAAAATCCCAACTTTTTTTAACACCGTATGCCAAGGGCTTATGAAGAGAGTAGCGTATCAGAAACCCTTGGCTAGCGAAGATGATATTTGATATACCCTAGAAAAAACGAATGAAAAAAAATATATTATTGTTGGGGTCGTAATGGTGTAGGGGAAATAAGTAGAGTGATGCGTATACTTGTTTCTTGTAGAATAAATGTGTATATAATTACTTTACTATCTATTTAAGGTCCTCGTGTCAATACTCTGGTCGACCATTGGAGGATGATCTGGCAGGAGAACATAGAGTATATCGTGATGCTTACAAACCTCATAGAAGGACCAAAGGTTTGTTCAGAAAAGTTTTTTTATGAATTATTCTTATTCTCTGCTACCGAACTTTTATCATACCCTTTGTACGTGCATTATATTAGTCTAGATCTGTACGCCCATAAGTCGGTAGCATTTTTCAGATTATTTAGGCGGAAATTGCTATTCACCTGCTTTTATGTCGGTATAATGTCTAATTTAATTTCAATATATTATTTCATTTACATGTTGTTGTTTTTTTCAAATTATGCTCTGAGGTATTTAATCTTTTATTGTTTTGTAAATATAGACACAGAAAACAATTTATATTTAAAACAAAAAAAAAATCTTACAATATTTAAGAATTGTTCTTAATGCCTTTGATAGTCTTAGATGTTCCTTTCCTGTATGCGATAATTTATGGTAAATACACCGAATTTAAACAAAGATAATCGTCGGGGATTGTAAAAAAAAGAAATTAACTACATATCTTCATCCGAACAAAACCAAATTTTTTGATAACTCATCAGTTGGATATATATTTTTGGACAAAACTATCCAAGAAAATCAGATACATTCATGGTTGGTAATTTTCGAAAAAGGAAGGTCTAAAGGAGAGTCGGGACTAAAATAAGTTTTTGATATTTCATTCATTTAATGGTCATTAATAAATTTTACCTGATACAGATATTTTGTATTTGATATATCCCCCAGAAAAAAAAGAAAGAAAGAAATCAAAAGAAAAAGAAAAATTGAAATTTAAAATGAAATGTTTAAAATGTCATTTAAAAGAGAAAATGTCGGACAACTAATTCTATTGTAGAATAGAAGCATAATTAGAATATTAAACGCCAGACTTTGATTAAGACAAGACGATGCTTTTGATCGGTATCGTATGAAGAAACATTCATTCATAGAAACCCTCCATTTCACTGCGAAAAAAAGGTTTTGATCGAAGAATTTTTACATTTCTAATATCCTGGTTATGATATGCCAAATTTTTACTTTGATAATTCAACAATGACCTATGTGCAAATCTCTGACAAAATAAAATTCTATGAAACGAAAGATAATAATTAAACTGTATCACATATACTATTATCTTATTGACACACTTACATTGAGGAAAGAATTTATCTAGAAAATTTACCGTGTCTTGTCACTCTAAAATATATGTTTGATGGATTCATGTAGCTTGGCTAGTTACCAGGCTAGTTACCAGGTAAGATGTTCATGCTCTATTATTTTCTTCCCTTTTTAAGGTGAAGTGCCATCAGTACTGGCCAGATCAAAACAAACATCTTGATGTCGATCCATTTTCTGTAACTCTTGTAGAAGAAAAGGTTTATGCATACTTTGTCATAAGAAGAATGTCAGTGCGAAAAGAGAGCGTACGTTGCTTATTACTATCTTCAATAGATTATTTATCGTAGTTTTACATACAATATAGCTGTAGATTCTGGGGGAAAAATTGGTATTTTAAGACATTTTCAAGAAAACCATTCCAACAGGGAATTGAAGGAGATAGATCATTTAAAAAATGGTGAACGAAATGATATTTTATACTGTGGCCAGTCTTAGAATGGACCCATAAACCTACTGTTTTGCATACCCTGTCAGAAAAAGCAATAAGAATGTATAAGACAAACTTGAATTCACGAACTGACATTTAATGTCACATTGCAATATTCTATGTTTATTCAGGTCACTAGGTCAAGGACGGTCGTACAGTTTCACTACACACAATGGCCAGATCACGGGACTCCTAATCCACTAGATCTAGTTGTTTTCCACAGACAGTTCCGACATAAAATAAAATCATCTCAACACCCGATTCTAGTGCACTGCAGGTTCGCTGATTTTTTTCATCCAAAGCTGTCGAAACGGTGGTTTGCATTGCATGGTTTGTTGCATAAATATGGATTTATGATGAGGCTCTAAAATTGGTGTGTTTTTTTTTTTCAAATTATTTCGAAGATTTTACTTTTAGAATAAAGTGAAAAAGATTTTTACCTTCAAAATCTAAAGGGTGGTTGGGAGGGGAGCTAAAGTCAGTCTTCGCAGTAAATATTGTCAATCTTGAGGTTAAACAATAAAATGCTTCCTCTGGTTGTTAGTATAGAAACTCATGTCGCAGCTTTAACAGAAAAATGCATAAGTGTAAGCGTATGATTCAATTTTTTCCGCTATACTTGCCACGTTAATTCCCATACTAACAAAGAAAGAGAGACATTTTACTGTTTTTATTTATATCTATATAAATAATCGTCAAAGGTATGATTAAGTAAGTTAAACATCGTATTAATGATATTAACGTTTCATTGATGGAAGAGCCACTGCTCAAGAAATCTGTACAGGTGGTGTATTCTTAGCAACATTTACAGATTGATAAACGGCCATGTTTTTCTTAAGAAATAAAAGACAGTATATTCACAGGATGTAAATATAATGATATCAATGTTTTTAATGCTATTAATGTTTTATTTTTTTAAGATGTCCACCTATGTGAGGAATGATATTAATCTGTGTGGGGAAAAATGTCAGTCTGTGTGAGGAATGATATTAATGTTCTGAAGGAATAATGTCAATTTGTGTGAAGGATGTTTGTGAGGAATAATATCAATATGTATTATTTGAGCAATGATACATTATTAATGTTTCTAAGATATAATGTTAATCTGTGTGAGGAATAATGACATTTTAATTATTTTAGTGCTGGCATTGGTCGAACAGGTACTTTTATAGCCCTGGATGTGTTGTCTAGAAATGGAGTGAAGAAAGGAAAAATCAACGTTGTGGAGTATGTTAAAGCTATGAGAAAGGACAGGATGACAATGATACAAAATGCAGTAAGTTATCTAACATGCAAAACATAAATGAACAGGATTGTTTAGAAATTTCATTAATGCTGATCCATTTTTGTATCTTTCAAAATTTCAGGAACTATGAACAAAAGCAAAATTTTAGGTTTCAAATATATTCTCCTGAATTATCATCACTATACAGTTTGATATTATTTCTTGTATTTAAATCATGCAATAATATAATATGGCAATACCCTCTTTGTAGGAACAATATGCCTTTCTTTATCATGCATTATACGAGTTCTTCAGGCGAAAAGGGAAATTCATCGGAAAAGAGGATTTCGTTCAGCTATATGGAGATATGGAAAAGCAAGAAACAAGAAAACGTTGTACAGATGAGTTCAATGTAGGATCATAAAAAGATAAAGACTATAAGACTAACATTTCAGTTATTTGTACATAATCAGCAAGATATGGTTAAATAGTCTTTTGATGCCTTTGTCATGTGTGACTCTTACCTTTAATGATTTATTTTACCCGCTCTTTAAAAGGTGGGGGTTATTTAGTGATGGGGATGTCCGTCCGTCCGTCCGTCTGTTACATTTGCGGACAGTCATCCCTTATCTGCAACTCCTCTTACATCACCGAAAGCAATTTTATTAAACTCTCAAAATCTCTGTGATATAGTGGCATTGAGCATCTTCTATTTTACTTTTCGATCGGATACATATTTGGGGTATATCATAGCAAAAATGGATATTGCTATTCTCTCTGTATTATTCGTGGTACCCATGTCTTAACTGCAAGTCCTATTACACAACTACATAAAATTAAAATTCATATTTTGGCAGAATCTCTATTACAAAGTGCCATTCTGAACCTCGTATCTAACGTTTGGATCATTTAGATATATGGGGTTTCATATTCCAAAACAATGACTTCGCAATTATACTCGTTAAGGGGGGTACACATTTTGCTAAATACAAATCTCTTTAAACCCCCGAATGAAAGCAAAGGAACTTTAACAAAATCTCATTTATATATGCCAAGAAATGAACTTTGAAATAACACGAAAATAAGTGTGGGGAAATCTTTTTTTTTTTTTTTTTTTTTTTTTTTTTTTTGGTGAAATCAGTGCTCACAATACCTCTAGTTTCATCTAATTCTCATTACATTTGAAAAACTGCTTTAAGACGTATCAAGACGCAGCTATGTTAAGGCTTCCCGAAGCTTCAAAATGCGCTCAAAACATAATATGTCATTGCGAGGTCGGTTTTAGTTTTAATTTATAAGTATTGAACTTAAGTACTCCCAATTTATATAGAGGGTTATTTCGGCTATATATTAACATATTTGTTATGAGATCACACGACTTTGTTGATCACGTGACGGTCATTTATAATTTTTTGAAGTGTTCCATATAAATCGCTTCGGCGCAGCTGATTAACACAATAATTATTAACATTTTGTTATATAAATAAACTCATCGTATCCTTGTGTATCCGAAATGTGCTTGGGAAAAGTCATAGCATTACTTAGATACAAAATATTTCCTGAGAAATTCAACTTACCTACAAATTTGAGGGTATTTTCCACACAATATCGTAATCTGTATGAAACCAATGCCAACACACATTTTTCCCAAGCAAGATTCAGTTAGAGAACAAAATCTTCTTAAAGATTTCCACAAAAATTCTCAGATTAATCCTCATTAATCACCTGCGCCAGACTCTTTTATACACACAAAATAAATTCTACCTCCAACCACGGGTATAAAACAGAGTACATTTCAAAAGTATATTTTTCATACGCATTTTGAATATGCTGAATTTCAACCAAGGGTAGGTAAGCGGTGTATTTTTAAAATATTCGGACATATAAGACTTAAAAAACCTTTAACGAACCGTGAATATTGCAATAACTATCTAGCATTTTACATGTAGTTTGAAATAAATTTTAAGTTCATGACACTCTCCCCGTCATAACACCTCAAGTTTGCAGTGACTTGACGTCATTTTCCATTATGACGTCATATTTTGGTAGTTCAGAGATGTGAAGGCACAGAGTGCACTGTGATATTCTACGGGAAGCCTTAACCTACCTGCGGAGGCATCCCAAAATTTTCAACTGATGGCATTCCATACCCAATGATGAAAAAAGGTACAAATTATCACCTAAAACTATACTGTTTTTTACAGGAACTTACAAGTTTGAGACCCAATTACAGTGACGATGATTTCAAAACTGGCAAGAAAAATCAAAACCTGAATATGATGAAGTCAGTTTTACCAGGTATTTGGGGGGAAGGGAGTTAAAGGGATAAAAATGCATCTACAATACATATATCACAAATAGAAATATTTTTCTCAAAGAAAAAAAAACGCTCCATGGTAAACAAAAAAAAATGGTTAATTTATGTATTGTAGTTGAGCAATATCTCGTGTATTTGACATCCAATATTCATGGTCGAGAACCTTACTATAATGCAGTTTCTGCCTCGGTATGTATTGTCGTGATAAATATAATATGTCATTATCCATATAACTTACTTACTCGGACATCTTTACAGTAATATTTAAGTAAGAATGATAATCATAGTTCATCATTTTCTTGACCTCTTTATATGAGTTTATAAACTTACTCTTGAGTTTTTTGTGCAAATAATAGTTTGTTAAATTTTTTCAATCAAAAAAAGTCATTCAACAGAGCCGATGAGTTTATTTCTGCCCAACTTCCGGTAACTGATGCTGCAGTTGATCTTGTTCGTCTTATGCTTGATCAGGAATCATCGTTCATGATTTCTTTAAATCCTTTAGCTGATGTCAAAGAGGTAATACAGAAAGTAATAAATGTGACTTTCATGCATCTTAAAAATTCAAAATCTTATCCAAGATAGTATTGGTAAGATAGTTGTATAATAAATAAATTACATAACATCAAAACCAAAATATGAGCTTTTACTTATCTTGCATTATTTAAGCTGAAAGACTGGGTGTCGGAAGATATACAAACTTTCAAACTAAATCCATATGAAATCACAAAGGATGAACAGAAGATACTTTCTAAGGAAATACGAAAGACCACTTTACAGATTAAAGGGGCGGAGGTTACTGTTTCTATAATCCTATTTCTTGTTACACCTAATAATAACCATTCTAACAAATGCATCAGAATGTTTCCAAGTATATCCAAGAAATAAATGCAGAAGAATTCCTTTGCATGAAAGGAAAATAACACTACAAAATTATACCTAAAAAGAAAGATTTTACTTTTATATGGAAAAATCTCAAATAAAATTCGTGTTTTGGCATTTTATTTGTTTATTTTCAGAAAAACACAAATACCCATAAAGTGCAAATCTTTGAATGCCTTAATTGGAAGTCTTCTGATAAAATTCCAGCTGAACCATCCACATTGACAAATTTAATCAAACAATTCAGCCTTGATCGTAAATCTGACACTGATGGGCATATAACGGTCATATCCAAGTAAGAATCATTCAAAATAAATTCAAAATATCATTTTTCTTTTCTTTCTACTATCCTTAGAACTGCTTTAAAAAAAAAAGATGAGATTAAGATTTTCAGAGATTTTTCTTCATTTCAATGCTTAAGACAAATTAAAAATATTTTACTTAACGATTTAACAAAATGGTTTTACAGCTGTTGGATAATTTTTCTTTATTTAAAAAAAGAGATGGTGCCACCTGCTGTGGAGTGTTCTGTGCTGTATATAATGCAATAGAACAGCTAGAGATGGACGGTGAAGTTGATATGCTAACTATCGTACAGCAGCTTCAGATTCGGAGACCAGAAATGATATCAACAAAGGTTATATTCACTGTATCATTTTAAAATACATGTATTTAATATTATCTTCTAATTTTATTATAAACACACGTCAATTCAATTTATAAACAACGTTGAGAAACAGTTTTAATAAATAAAAAAAATGTATTGTTGACAAACAGCTGTTAGAAAAACTGCCGGAAAGAAAATGATGCATTATCAGAAAAAAATTCTTCTAATCATGTTTATTTTACATGTTTATAGATACTGCACAAATGAAAAGATCTTGGTTTTCAGATAACTATGTGCTTTTCCTCTTTCAGGAAGAGTATGAATTCTGTTTCAAGGCTGTGTGTAATTATCTGAGTATGGACAGTGTGTACGCAAATACCTAAAATACACACATTTCGTGGAATGCTAAGTGGAATAGAGACTATTTTTATCACTATTGACTTTTTTCATTGTATAGTTTTCTACTGAAATATAGACATAATTGTAAATGAATATTTCTTTCTCAATTGGAAATCATGCTTATATGAATATTTTCATGTAAGTACATGTATGATAAAATCGTTATTTTTCCATATTTCTACGTTATTTTATTACATCACCCCGCTTGAAAGTCCTGGGGGTTCGGGGGTTGAAGGTAAGGTGGGGAGAAGGTGTGGTGTTAGTAATATAATGATGGTGGTGTCCATCCAAACCTTTATTAGGCTTGGGGTTACCCATTTCTTATCCGTTACTTCTCCAATACTACTGAATAAAATTTAATGATACTTTCACAGAATCTTTTAAACATAGTTCCATTGTGCATCACTTATTTTAAGTTTTGATCGGACAGTTATTTCGGAATTTCCTACAGCAAATCGTTGACAGTGTCTATCTTCCTATAGTATTCTTCTTTCTATAATATTCTTCTCCAATAATATTTTCTCCTACATCACTGAATTAAATTTTATGAGACCTTCACAGAATCTGTTTTACATAGTTCAATTGTTCATCTCTTATTGTAGTTTCGATCGCACAGTTATTTCGGGTTTCTCATAAAAAATCGTGGGCACTGTCATTCTTTCTATAACATTGAGGGTATACCCATCCCTTATCTGCAACTCCTCCTATACCACTGATAAAAAATTAATGAAACGTTCACAGAACCGGTATTTTCATAGTTCAACTGTGCACCTCGTACATTTCGATCGGAAAAATACATGGGATTTTCTATAATAAAACATGGTCACTGCCATCATTTCAAAATATCTGAGGTAATTATCTCTCTTCCATCATCCCCATACCACCAGTACTAAATAAAATAAAATTTGAATTTCACAGAATCTTTATTAAATAGTCCCATTGTGCACCTCCTATTTTATGGTCTGATCAAACAGATATATTGAGCTTCAATTGGCAAAAAACGGCCATGACATTCTTATGGTAGCGGAGTATGATTCTGTGAGTTTATTGCTCACATAACGTTTAGTTTCTTCTTTTGTTTTTCTGAATGATTTCGTTTAGATGTATATAAATAAAAAAAATGCTATAAATATTTTTCACCCTGCATTCTTTTTGCATTTAGTTGATCTTAAAAGAAACTTCTTGCATTTCCGTTTGAAAGATCTAGATCAACTGCTAGTTGTCCATCTCTAAGTAGTGGAAATACGTACATTATGATTTCTCGGGAATTTAGCATGTTCAATAATAATATGACAAATATAATATTTTCAGATCTGAAAAATATTGTTACTGCTTACTGCTATTTAAATAAATGGAATATTTATCATACACCGATCAAAGACTAATAACTTAGATTCTATGTTATGAATCTATTACCATACTAGGTGCATCTACAAAACATTTTTTAATAATTGAAATACTGAGAAGTTTTATATACATCTTATATCAAGACAGAGTAATTTTGAATACAATCGTTGAAAGGTGTATGAGATGATGTAATATTTTCTGATATAACATGCATGATGTAACATATTTGCTCGTAGTTGATAGACTTTAGTTTCTATTTTGATAATATATTATGATAGAATGGAGCCTAAATATTAAGAAATATTGATGACAAATTTCATTTCATTCAAAAAAGTCAACTGAATAGTAAATATATGAATGTGGCTTTATAGAGCTTAAATTTATTGAATCTCCAATAAACGTATACAAAACTTGAATATTTCTTACCTCAGCTCCGATCAACATTTCGACGATAGGGCCCAAAATCGAGCCGTCTAATATCTTCTTCCATCAATCAACATCGAATATTGTTATACCTTTAAAAAAATGTTCTTATATTAATCAATATTTAAAAAAAGTCTAGCATTTCCAATGGTTTACTGAGCGGGCATAAAAAAATCGATGTTTGACCGTGGAGTGAGGTATTGGACCTGTCGATGAGATGATGAACCGCTTACGTCACATAATGACCGGGATCCGCTAAATCTCATTTGCTTTCGTTGATGTTCGACATACATGTATGTCCAAAAAAAATAATAAAATAAATAAATAAAGGTATAACAAAACATTTATTGACTCCGTTCCCGGGCAAAATGCGTTTTGTCGCCCCCTCGAACAAAACTGTTTGCCTTCGGCATAACAGCCTCAGGCAAACAGTTTGGTTCTTGGGTTCGACAAAGCGCATGTTGCGCTCGAACCCAGTCAATAAATGTATATTATTTGTTTCTACCAAATATAACAGTTTTGTGGTATATTCATATTGGTGGTGGTGGTGGGGGGGGGGGGGGGGTAAGCAAACAAACAGAAGTAAAAAAAAAAAGAGAAGAATTGGTATTAACTTATCTGAAGACTGATCTCTTTCAAAGGCCTTTATTAATGTGGTATAAATCTCCGACAAATCACTAAGGTCATGGTGCCGGTGCTTGTACATTTGATCAGTTTTTTAAAGTGCTTATCGGAGAATTGAAAGATTTCAGCAATCTGCCACAAGTTAACCGGCTTTAAACCCGACTACACTTTCAGATGGATGGACTGAGAGATTAAGTGCATCCTAAAAGGACAAAACACACATGTACAATATCTAATGCCCATATTTAGGTATAAATCAGCCACCATTCGGTGTTATTAACATTTATGACCACCAAGCCGTGTGCTCCATTATAACTAAAAGTTACAATCGTTAGAAATGATTCAGATTAGAATATGGAGGTTTTTAAATACAGTAAAGTTCGTTTAGAATAGAACACGTATAGCGAAAGTTTTTGGCATCCCAAGCAAAATTCTTGATAATTTTAACTGTTAAATCGAACTCTGATAAAACGAATTAAGGGAAAGAGTGAATTAATTTTAAGTCCCCTTTAGGTTAAAAGGAACGAAATTTAAGAAATTCTTTTATATCAATTATTTAACTATTTCAAGGTACAAGAATTCAAAATATATTTTTTTTTAATTGACTTTAGATTGATTGATTGATTGTATATAGTTTTAAGTCTCATTCGAGAATTTTTCACTCATATAGAGACGTCACCATATACCGGTGAAGGGCTTCAAATTGTGACCTTTACTCGGCACTCAGGGCCATTGAGCAGTGAGGGATCTTTATCGTGCCAACGCCTGCCGTGACACGGGGCCTCGGTTTTTAAGGTCTCATCCGAAGGACCCGCAAATTTCACTTCAAAGTGCCGAGCGCATGGCGAAGGAACAGTTGCTACCTATTTTTTATCGACTTAGGTCTGTCGCGGCCGAGATTCGAACTCACAACCTCCCGATCACGGAGCGAGCGCTCTACCGACTGAGCTACCGTGAACGGTGTATTGACTTTAGACATAAACAAACATACATACACATACACAAGCACACTATGGCTGGAAAGCTTACATACAGAATTTTAGGAATAAACATGAAATATAAAAAAAAATATGAATACACAAGGTATACTAAAATAATAAAGTAGATGACATAAATTTATCTATATGCTTATGTTTTCAAATATCTGGTTCCAGTTAATCCATCTTCTTTTATGCACACCGTTATTATTTTCTCTCATTTTTGACAAAAACAAATACTTATTTGTACCAAGAATCCTATGTATGATTCTAAAATTAAACCATAAAAGCCTTGTGTATTTTGTTATTGAATAATATTTTTTATGAATTAATTTCCAATTAAATTCCTGCTGTAACTGCAGTTCTTTAGCCCATTTTTATTCACACTTTGGTGAAGTATATACATGTAACGACAAATATGTATCATAAATTGTTTTAGAACCTTTTCTATCTTTATTGATGTTTTCCACAAATTTTGGCTGATAAGGTCTTGTGACAGAATTTATACCAACATTTCTTACATTTGGCCAAGAATGCAAAATTGCCCTTTTTATGCCTTCGTATATAGTAAAAGGGACTTTTAAAGAAAATTCTTTAACAAGATCATCAAAGCATATAAAGTTACCATTACTGTCAAATAAATCACCAACTACAATAAATCCCTTTTCATACAATGGCATTGAAAAAACATACTTATTTTGAGTCATAATTTTATTATTATACCACAGAGGTTCCAACAAAATATCTCCTTGGTTCGAGTTACATGTTATAAGACTTAAGGATTCTGAAAATACATACAGTACTTCTTTCCAAAAGCTATTTTGTGTATTCTTTGCTTTAGATTTTGAATATTCTGGCCCAAAATGGGACAGGTTTAAATTATTACATTTTGTTATTTCAGTGAACAGTGGGATCCAACTAGACTTTGTAAATAGTAATCTTCTGATCCAAGTTAATTTTAAAGATTTAATAAAACAGTCAATATTGGTCATTTTAAGACCACCATTCTCTTTGGAAAGTTGCATTGTTTTTCTTGAGATTTTTTCTGTTTTATTGTTCCATATAAATTTATAAAAATGTTTTTCCAAATCTTTAATCCACTTTTTGTTTGGCTTTGGGAGAACAGTAAACAAATGTGTAAGTTTTGATGAAAATAAACTCTTTATTACTGTAACTTTCCCTAATGGAGATATATTTCTTTTGACCATGATATTGTTTCCTTTTTAATGTTTTGAAAACATTTCTCAAAATTTAGCTGTTCCATGTTTTTTTAGATCAGCAGTATATGTAATGCCGAGGACTGTAAACGGTTCCACTGTCCACTGAAGTCCTATTTCATTACATAATGTGTTTCTGGAATTTATTTCAGAACCTATCCATATAGCTTTTGTTTTAGTAATATTTTGTTTAAGTCCTGAAAATTTTGAAAATTGAAAAAGAAGATCTAAAGCACTTTTTAGGCTTTTTTCTGAACCATCTAAAAACATTACTGTGTCATCTGCATATTGAAGTAAACATATTTTTTCCTCACCTATTTTTATTCCCTTTATATTTTTATTTTGTCTTATCATGTATCCCATAATCTCTACACACAGGTTAAATATATATGGAGAGACAGGATCTCCTTGGCGACAACCCCTCCCTATTTTGAAAAATGATGAAA